GGCTGTGAGCCTAGCTGGTTTATTGGGTTTCCCATTTATCTTATTCACACTTAGAGGTTCTTAAAAAAAAAACAAAAATCCCTCTGACTATGGAAAAATCCAACCTTATAGAAAATTGTAGACAAAATAATGCAACCTTAGAGGTCCTTTTAATTCAACCCAGAATTGGTTGCACTTGTAGCTGCTAAAGGTTGAGGGCACCTAATGAAAGGGAACCATGAACATGCCATTTCCTTTTCTTTTTTTAAAACAAAAGATATTCAGGACGAATTTTAGAATCATTGATGGTTTCTAGGAAGATTTTCTTTTTTGGAAGAAAAAAGGTACTCTTGTCTCCTTAATTGTTCTTAGTGTTCTTTGTCACCAATCATGATAGTCTTTGTGGAAAGTATTAATATACCATCTTCCTGTGTTCAATATTCCCATTAACAATAAAAAGCCTAATGAAAATATCTGTGTGAAAAGCTCTGAGCACTATATTGAGACAAATAGAAGATGAACCAATAAGTGTCTCCTCTGAAAGGAATGATGCAAATTAATTGATATCTTAATTAGGCTTTAGCATGAAGATTATTAGCTAGATTGAATCAGAACTGAAAAACACCTTAAAGGAAAAGCTGAGGACGTGGCACTGGGAGAGAGAGATGTCCGTCGTGTGTCAGTGCTCTGTTGAAAATCTCTTTTGCTCAAGGAGAGTTTCTTTCTTTTTTTTTTTTTAATCCTCACCCGAGGATATTTTTACATTTATCTTCAGACAGAGTAGGAGAGGAGGGGGGAGAGAGAGAGAGAGAAACATCGATGTGAGCGAGACATTGATTAGTTGCCAAATGCACAACCCCAACCAGTGTTGGGGATGAACCACAACTGAGGTAGGTACCCTTGGCTAGAATGGAACCTGGGACTCCCTGTTCTGTAGGCCGATGCTCTAACCACTGAGCTAAACTGGCCAGGGCAAGGAGAGATTTTCAAAGAGGGGGACAAGAAGGACACACGCTTTATGTATCAGTCACTACCTGCCCCAATCTGGACAGGATTGGGGACTGAAGTCTAGTCCTGTCTCTGAGTTCATGGGAACCTGCAGGTGTAGGAAGGTCACAATCCCACCGTAAGCTGCAGCCTCCTACCTCGGACTTGCCAGAACAGAAGCTCTCAGAGGGCAGAGACATCCCCTCCTCCATCACCCCAGTGTTAGTACAGCAACTGTCTTCAAGCAACAACAGTAACATCACAGTAAACAGGTACGTAGAGCTTACTATGCATTCTGGGTACTGCTCTAAGCACTTGACTTAGAATAACTCATTTAAGCTACCTAACAACAGTGTGAGATGGGGACTGCTGGGATCTCTACTTTACAAGTCAGCTGACTGAGACACAGGTTGAGCAACTTGCCCCCTGAAATCATATACTTAATACTGGTGGATTCAGATGGGAGCCACAGCAGTCTGGCTCCAGGGTCCTTGCTCTTAAGCACAATGCCATAGCAAATAATGGTCAATCCATATTTGTGAATTAAAGAAGCAATGCGTACCACAAATGCACAGTCCCCACTGGTGGACTTCTCTCTAGTTTTTAGTTTTATTTAAGGACTACTCTATCATAGACCCTGCCAGCCTCTCTATGGGAGGCTGTAGATGCTTCCTGTATTGTTAAGAACTGGTTGCTGCCCTGGCCAGTTTGGCTCAGTGGTTAGAGCATCGGCCCGTGGACCAGAGCGTCCTGGGTTTGGTTCCTGCTAGGGGCACGTACCTTGGTTGCCGTTTGTCCTTGGCCCTGGTTGGGGTCGTGTGGGTGGCAACCAGTCAATGTGTCTCTCTCACATCAATGTTTCTCTCTCTCTCTCTTCTTCCCTCCCTCCGGCTCTATCTGAAGATAAATGCAAAAATGTCCTCAGGTGAGGATTAAAAAAAAAGAATTGGTTGCTATCTTATTTCAACCTCAAAAAACAGCCCCAAAATTGCCCCTATTGAGGGGCTCCAATAGGCATGGCCCAGTCCATCCTTCAACTAGGCCTGGGTTGCTAATATCCATGCCATCCAGGGTTCCAGCCAATTTGCCTTGGTGGCCATTGTGAATCACAGGGCCACTGTCACTCTGTCTGCAGTGACTTCATGGCATGCCTTATTGCTGAGGCCACTTACTGCTGAGGGTAATGACAATATATAGGGTTGATTTTTAAGGAGTTCAAAATGCTTGTCAGGTGTACTTTATTTACCAAGATAGAATTCCCTGGGGAAGTTGCCTGGACACATCTACCCATAAAAAGGAACCAGAAATAGGGCCCTGGGATGGTAGGGAAAGCATAGAGATCATGTTTCCCATTTTGCAGAGCACGGTGGCATGCCCCTGCCACAGTGGAGCTGATAGAAGAGATATGCTGTGAGCCCAGACCACAAGGTATGGCAGGAAGGGTGTATGGTTTGGAGTTGGGGTCCTGGATTGAAGACCCACCACTACAACCCACTAGATGAGAGGCTGCATCATTCAATCACTCCAGGTCTTGCTCTACCTGTCTATAAAATAGGGATAATGCCCAGTTCACAAGTCACTGTGAAGATCAAAAGGACGTTCGTTTCTAAGTGCCTTTCACTTGAAAATTGCTCCACAAACAGGTGATGTTAACAACAACCCAAGCATTCTGGCGCAGAACTCTTCCATCTTCCTTCAAGCTGCTAACTCCTTCTGGATGCTTGTGAAACGCGGGTGCGGAGCCCTCTCTGACTGACTGAAGTGGTGTCCAGGAACCTGCATTTCAATGAGCTGATTTGAATGTGCTCTCATGCTGGAGACCACTCAGCAGCAGCTAACACCAACACAAAGGAAGTGCCTCTGGGCGTGACCAGAGCCCTGTCTTCCTTTGGCCAAGGTCCACAGCCTGAGACCCACGTGGACCTGGTTTACGTGGGCTTTGTGGCTAGCGGATTTTGGGGGCTGGTGGGCAGGCCAAGTGGGTACAGCTGAGAGCTGCTGCTTCCTGCTGGCCCCTTGGATCGGGGAAAGTGGGTGAAAATGTGACCGAAACCCAAGCCTACTCAGGCCTGTGTGGGAAGGCCGAGGGCTGCACCCGGGCAGGTGACCCTGGTAAGCTCTGCAGCTTAGCAGCCTTGCCGACAGCTGCCACTTGCCACCTGTCACCTTGCACCTGCTGCTCTACTTCTGAGCTGGGTTGCTGAGGCAGAACCTATGTCTACACCACAAGGCTTGTGTGAAAGAACTGTCTTGAGTGAGTAGTGTGGCGAGGGGAATGGACAGGGGGACTTCAGTCTTGGAAGAGAGGCAGCTTCAATGCTGAAATTATTTCATCCCCAACAGCTTCTGATTTCTGGCCTCAGACTTGCCTCATAGAACCCTCTTAGAGACAGGCTGTGTGGATGGCGGACTAAAAGTATAACATCTTTTTCAAGAGTTTCAGCCCCTTGGGACCACCAGGGAGTCCCGAGTACAGAAAATGGCAATGCCCTGGATTGGGACAGGATCCAGGATCTTTTCCTTTTGTGCCCTCAACTCCCCTCCATGTCCTGATGGCATGAACCTCTCCCAGCTCTGCCCCTTTGAATGCGTATGGTGTTTCCGAGGTTCCTTAGGAGGCCGAGGGGTGCTTGGCTGGGCAATGTGTGGGGCAGTGGCCCTGCTGTTCCTCAGGAGCTTGCTCAGGCTCTGCCCAAAGCTGTAGCCACAGCTGTCTCAGGATGGCTGTCCACCTGAGCATCCTGTGAAGAGACTGCGGTCCCTGGGCAGGGTTGGTTGCAGGGTAACTCTCCCTGCACCTCTCAACTCAGTGGTGGTGAGAGCTCTTGCCTTGCTCAGGAATGTCAATAGCTAGTTCAGACGGATACCCCTTCCTCCACCCCATAGCTCGAGAGGGAGGAAGATAAACTCCTTATGCCTGTGGTGTCCTCCATGTTTTCTAAATGCTCTCGGTGTGCTCTCTCACGGGATCATCGTGACGACCACCTCTTACAGACAGACAAAATGCCCAGAGAGCTTCTGAGTGACTTAATGGTGGTCATTGAGTTGGGAACCAGTCAGACCTGAATCTAAACTTTGTTTTTCTAGTTCTGGGTTCCCACCGTCTTATGAGGTTGGTGCCTCTGTATGCTCTATGCAAAGGTCATCCGTGGGCTCTCTAGGCAGAGTGCGCGAATGCTCGTCTAGGTGGATTTGCCCAAAGTGCACTGCCAGATGCTCACGAACACAAGATTCAGTAGTTAAATGAGATTGAAAATTAAATGCATATTAAAATAAACAGAAAAGTAAATGCATATCATACAGTGCATATTAGAATGCTGAAAGCACTAAAAAGCCCTTCAGGGAGGAATGGGATTGGGTCAGGTTAACCCAGGGTCTCCAAAGCTTGTCTGTCATCAGAACCTTCGCTCCACTCATCCCCACATAATGCCCATTGGCAGTCTACCAGATTTGAGTTCCTCAGACCTACTCCAGAAAATGTGAGCCAGGCTCCTTCACAAATATGACAGCAAAAGGACAAAAATGAGGAGAGGCCATTTGTTTCTGTACAAAGAGAGGAAATCACCAGGCCTCCTCTGCTCATCAGGAGGAGGAGCTCCTGCCCCATCCTCTGGCCAGTTCTGCCACCTGGACTGCACAGAATCACCCTAGGCCCCCAGTTTGTGCCCCTGGCAGTGGTGTGCCAGAGCCAATTGTTAAAGTTTCAGAAGTTTTGTGAGTCAGTTGTTAAATCATCAGAAGCTTGAAATTAACCCTGGTGAGAGTATTTGCACTATGGAAATCAGCAAACACTACAAATGGGGCCCCACCCCCTGTCTGACAGCCCATTTACCTATGCATCACTGATCCTGGGACATTTTCGAAATTGTTAGAAACTTGGGAGGGGCTGTGACGGCTGGGGGTAACCTGACACAGAAGTCCTTGCTCATCAGAGTCCTCAACCCTCGTGAATGAGAGCTGAGAACAGCAGAGATGATAATAATCTTCCAGCTGTAATTCCCAATGAATCAGAAAGTGCCTCATGGCCAGCTTACTTTGATATCTGTCACCAGCCAATGTCTCCAGAACCCAGCTTTGGGCGAAGATCTGCTAGGGGCATCTGGATCCACCATCACCAGGATGTAGGTTGCACCCTGTAACACATTTGCCAAAAAGAAATGTAGCGTTAGGGCTAGAATAGTGATAAGACAACTACCAGATGCAGACCCTCCTTTACCTCTGTTCTCACCTAGAACAGAGGGCCTGCCCCTGTAACTCCCGACCTAGGTCATCTTGGTTCTCAGGACATTGCTCATGTGCTTCATGTTTATGCTCAGAGAAATGAAGTCCATTAAGAACACAGCTTAATAACTTGGATTTCCCTTTATGAAAAGGAATAAATCAAACAAGCATGTTTGCTAAGCACCTGGGAACTCCTAGCATCATGCTAGGTGCTGTGGAGGAAATAAAGAAACCTAAGACAGGGCTCTGCTCTCAAGAAGCTTACAGTGTAGTTGGAGTGACTTATACATGAATTCAGCAAATACAGGAGAGCTTACTCTGGGTCAGGAACTATACCAGTTGCGAGGAATTCTAGGACTCATTCATCCCTTCAACGAGCATCTACTGAACACCTACTATGTGCCTTAAACTGTTCTAGGTGCTAGGATTCCAACAGAGAACAAAATAGTGTGGTCCATACTTTCAGAAAGCTTTTATTCTAGGTAAGACACACACAAAAATTAAAAACAAAAACAAGGAAATGTTAAATTGCGATAGTGCTGTGATTAACAAAATAGGGTAGGGTGAGAAGGAGTAAGCCTTCCAAGAAGAGGAAATACCTACTATAAAGGCCTTCAGGTGGAAAAAAAGCTAGGGTTGAAGGAACAGAAAGAATGCCATGTGGCTAGTGGCAGGCAAGGGGCAGGGGGCGTGGACATGGCAGGGCTGGAGAGGTGGGAGGGCAAAACAAGAGAAGGCTTTGTGGGCCTGGGTGAGGAGTGGGGTTGTATCCTAAGTGAATGCAGAACCACTGAAAGGTTTTAGTCAGGAGACTAAATCAGGAGAATAATATGCTCTGATTTACATTTTTAGAAGATCGTTTTGGTGGCCAGGTGGAGAATGAATGGTTGGCAGGAGGGAAGAGAGGACGCCAGGAGGTCAGTTTGGAGGCTACTGCAATAGTATAGTGAAGGATGATGGCATCTTGGACTAGGATGGCAGCAATGGAAACAGAAACAAGTAGGGAAGTACTTTTAGGTAGAATCAAAGGGATTTGCTGACTAACTAGACAGTAGGGCAGTGAGGAAGGCGTGGGGAAAGAGAAATCAAGGATGATTTTGGCCTGAGCAACGGGGAGAATGGAACCATTTAATGACGTAGAGGAGACTTGGAGAGGAGATTGTTTGAAGGAGAACATCAGGAGTCCCGTTTTAGCCCTGACCAATTTGCTCAGTGGTTGGAGCGTCAACCTGCAGACCAAAGGGTGATGGGTTTGATTCCTGGTCAAGGGCACGTATCTGGATTGCAGGTTTGATCCTGATTCCAAGCCTCAGTTGGGGTTCATGTGGGAGGCAACCAACTGATGTATCTCTCTCACATCAATGTCTCTTTCTCACATCGATGTTTCTCTCTCTCTCTCTCTCTCTCTCTCTCTCTCTCTCTCTCTCTTTCTCTCATTCCCTGCCTTCTTCCTTCCCTCCCACTCTCTCTAAAATCAATAAAAAATACCCTCTGGTGAGGATTAACAACAACAAAAAGAGTTCTGTTTTAGACATGTTAAGTTAGAAATGCTTCTTAGAAGATAATCAAGTATATAAGTCACAGTCTGAAGTTAGGGGGAGAGATGAAATGGGATATATAAATTTGGGAATCGTTAACAGATAGATGGGCCTACATCCATAGAATAATGAAATTATTCATGGAAAGATTAGACATGGACAAGCAAAGAGGTCTCAAGACTGAACTCTGGCACCAAGAAGAGAAGGAGAATCAAGCAAAGGAGACCAGGAAGGCAGGGCACACCTGAAGAGAAGGTATCATGAAATCTGAGACAAGAAGGGTTTTAAGAAAGAGGAAGTGGTCAACTATGTCAAACGCAGCTGAAATGTAGAGCAAGATGAGGACACAATTGTGACAATGTGATTTGACAACTGGAAGATCACTGTTATATTGGTGAGATCAGTTTCAGTAGAGAAGAAAGGACTGAGGTTTGATTGAAATAGGTGGAGATGAGATGGGAGATGAGGACTTGGAGATAGTAAAGATGATTTTTAAAAAATCATCTTTGTTGTGAAGGACAGCTGAGACATAGAGTGGTCTTATTAGAGGGAGAGAAAGAATCAAGAGAGCTTTTTTTTTTATTCTTATATTTTAAGAGACAGATAGCAGTGAGGCATGCTTGCAGGCCAATGGAAATGATCCAGTAGAAAGAGAGATATATATGCTAAAGATGAATAAGGGGACCATTGCAAGAGCCAAGACTCTGGGAAGTGGGAAGAAACAGAGTACAGAGCAAAAGTGAAGGGCTTGGCCTTTAGTGGGAGCAGGGGATACAGGGATGTAAATGAGGTGGTGGTGGAGAGTAAAGACAATGTCTTCTGGTTGTTTGTATTTTCTCAGTGAATCAGAGGCAAGATCATCAGGGAAAGAGGGATTTTAAGGAAGTTTGAAGACAGAGAAGAAAGTATGAAATAGTCATTTTGGAAAGTGGGAAACGGAATATACCATAGGTATAGTAAGATTACTGGGTAATATTTCATTCCACAGTTGTGTGCTTTTTAACTGTTCAATGCAGGCATGGAATAAGTGGTATTTTGGTTTAATTTGAATAGGAACTTAGACTGATGAGTATAATGGAGAAGAAGGGTGTGAGAGAGTGAGAAGTGAGCAAGATCAATAGAGGAGTCCTGGGCTTCCTCTTGATCTGGAAGGAGAGACAGATATAGACATAACTGCAGCCCCCGTGCAAAGTGCCCAAGTAAAGGAGCATTGATCAGATACAGAGGGAGCACAGAGGAGGTATCCTAGACCTCTCCACCTCAGCAGTCCAGGAAGGCTTCACAGAGTTGTCTTTTGAACTTGGTCTTGAAGGACACGCAGGTAAAGCACCAGGAAAGGACTCCATAGGCAAAGGGGAAAGACTGTGCAGGCTGACTGGGGGATGGCGAGCGTCTTGGTGTGTGGGAGCATAGGGCATTGAGGACGAATGGTCGGTGCAAAAGCTCAACAGTTACTGAAACCAGATACTAAAAAGCTTTACATGTCCTAAGTCATTTGGAATTTGTTTTTCAACAGAACCCACTGAAACTGTTTGAACAGACAACCGGCATGATTAAATTCGTGTTTTGGGAAGGCACGTGATAAGGATGAGTAAAAGACTGAAAGTAGAGTGGCAAAAAAAGACAACCGAAATGCTCTGGAGATCCTGAGGGCTTGAAAATCCAAGTAGTAGTAATAAAGAGAAAGAAGAGGCATTTGTACCATCAAGTCAATAGCATGAAGTGGCTGGATAGGGCCCGCATATGGAAGAGGGAGATGTCTAGGATGACACTGAGAGTCTGTCTTGGGCAACTAGGTGGACTATAGCACTGTGACTCTTAGGAGTAACAAATTTGGGAGACAGTGAGTTTGGTGTTGAAACATCAGGCAGGGATGTACCTTAAATGGAACTATGAGTCTGGAGCTCTCTTGAGACTTAGCATGTGGGTGATGGGCATGGGGACAGATGAGACTGTCAGGGAGAACTTGTAGAGTGAGAACAGAAGAATGACTGCCGTGAAACTTGGAAACTCAGAAGGGAAGGGGGAGAGACTGAGGAGAAGAGAGTTGGAGGGAGAACCAGGGAGCATAGTGTCATGGATGCCAAGAGAAAGCAAAGTTCTAGGAATGAGTTGGGATTGGGTCAGTATAACAGAGCCATCAAGGGATAAGGGATCATTGGCTTTGACAATTGAGGGAAAATTGCCAAACTTTTCAAAGATGAGTGTTTGAGAGAAAAATACCAATTGTTGAATGTTAAAATCCAAAAGAAGCAGTGAACCATATATGCTATAGGAAATTAAATCAGAGAACATGAAGATAAACCCAAGAAAATCTCCAAACACTCAGGAGTAAAAGATAGAGATGAAAATATTAGGGGGAAAGTAGAATTAAGTTATAAATTGCCTCTGTGTGTGTGTGTGTGTGTGTGTGTGTGTGTGTGATCCCATGGAATCCCAGAGAGAAAAAACGGTCTAATTGACCCATCAAGAATTGGTTCTAGCCAAGGCAATAAGAAAATAAAAAGAAACAAAGTATAAATACTGTGAAAAAAATAAATAAAACAATCTATCCTGTCTGTCTTTTAATTATTATTATTATTATTATTTTGCAAATGACATTATTGCCTACATAAGAAATCCAAAAGAATTAGCTGGAAATAATTAAACTAATATTTAGTAAAGCGAGCTTGTTCAAAATAAACAAAATGAGTATTTTCCTACAGACAATAATAATGGTCTGTTAGAAAATATACTTTTACAATTTTATTTAAAATTGTAATAAAAATATAAAATATCCAGAAATAAACTTGATGAAAAATGCAAGACTTACACAGAAAACAAAAATATTACTAAATGTACATAAAAACAAAACTTGATGAGATGGAGAAAGATATACTATGCTTTTAAACTGAAATAATCATTAGCAAATTATGTCACTAAATATTAGTTAATTTAAGACAATTTCAATAAGAACTCTAAATAGATGTTTTTGGAACTTCATAGAATGATTCTAAAGTTCAGAATAAACGCAAAAAAAATTAGCGAAGGCAATATCAAAAAATAAAATAAAATGGGATAATATTGACTTTGTAGATATTAAAGTATATTATAAAACTAAAATCATTACAACAATGTGGTGCTGATTAAAGAATAAATAAGTAAATGAAGCAAAATAGAAAACATATAGAGAAATCCATGTTCTAAATATAGGTGTATTTAATATGTGATCAAGTTATCATCAAATGTATAATATTTTATATATAATTCTTTCCAGTCATTGGGGACAGGATAGATTTTTTGTAAGTGCTGTTGAGACAATTGGCTCAACATGTGGAATATACAAACTTCAGTCTCTGTTTCTCTCATACACCCAACACTTCCAGATTTAAATA